AGCCAGAAGCTGGAAACAGCCCAGATGCCCCCCAACTGAAGAATGGATGCAGAAATTGTGGTACATCTATACAATGGAATATTACTCACAATGAAAAATAAGGAAATCATGAAATTTGCAGGTAAAATGGTGGGACCTGGAAAGGATCATCCTGAGTGAGTTGTCCCAGAAGCAAAAAGACACACATGGTATATACTCACTCATATAAACATACAACATAGGATAAACCCACTAAAATCTGTACATCTAAAAAAACTAAGCAAAAGAGAGGACCCTAACTAAAATGCTCAATCCCCATCCTGAAAGGCAAAGAGGATGGACATCAGAAGAAGAAGAAAACAGGAAACAACCTAGGAACCTGCCACAGAGGGCATCTGAAAGCCTCTGCCCTGCAGACTATCAAAACAGATGCTGAGCCTGATGGCCAACTGTCAGGCAGAGTGAATGGAATTTTATGTAAGAAGTGGGAAGTAGCAAGAGCTGGAGAGGACAGGAACTCCACAAGGAGAGCAACAGAACAAGAAAATTTGAACACAGGGAACTTCCCAGAGACTCATACTCCAACCAAGGATTATTCGTGGAGATAACCTAGAACCCCTGCATAGATGTAGCCCATGGCAGTTTAGTGTCCAAGTGGCTTACATAGTGATGGGAAGAGGGACTGCCTCTGACATAAACTGATTGCCCTGCTCTTTGATCACCTCCCTCTGAGTGGGGAGCAGCCTTACCAGGCCACAGAAGAAGACAATGCAGCCATTCCTGATGTGATCTGATAGACTAAGATCAGAAGGAAGGAGAGGAGGACCTCCCCTATCAGTGGACTTGGGGAGAAGCATGCATGAAGAAAGGGGAGGTAGGGTGGGGTCGGGAGGGGAGGAGGGAGGGGCTTATGGGGGATACAAAATGAATAAAGTGTAATTAATAATAATAATAATAAAAGAAAGAAAAAAGTTATTTTCAGTAATAAAATAAGAGGAAAGTTATCCGGATGCAAGTTTCCTAAGAGAAAAAAAATTATCATCTTACTACTTGATTGTCATTGGATAAGCCTGTTATCAGCAATTACTGACATAAACCTGCTAGCCCACTGTATATCATCTTAAACAAAAGTCTGAATTCTAACAGTATACACAACTTAATCTTTAAGATTATGATGCTGAACCCCTTATACTTAAAATTTTCTCAGGTTTTGTTTCCTCTTATACAGAATTAGAACCCTCAAAATTTTGGCTCTCACACTCTATGATTGATGTGCAAGTACTTTCATTTGCGATTAGGAAAAAAATTGTATCCATTTTTAAATGACCGTATCAATAGTTTATATTCAAAATTCATGCGAAATACATAACATCTTCGTTTATCATGGTATAATCCTAGTGATTGAGAAGTGGAAGAAAAATAGTTTTACATACCATGATGAAAAAATCTTTTCTTTTTTAATCTTTAAAATTAGCCTTTTAACTTGACATAGAAAGCAATCGACTTATTATGCCGTTATCATGTGTGTTTGTTATTGGTCCCTCACCTAATCACTTTCCCATGCCAGTGCCCATATAGCTTGCTGGTCTCAACACTTTCCCTCTCTGCTTTATGTCCATGTATCCTAGTACTCTTTTTGCACCCTTCATCTGTTCCACTTAAGATCTCTTTATCCCTTCTCATGGTTACTTTTATATTTGTATGATCACACACACACAGAAGAAAATATGTTGTGTTTCTTTTTTTTGAGTTCAGATTATTTCGGTTTATGTAATGATCTCCAGTTCTACCCAGGATTTCCTTTTCCTTTCCAGCTCAGTAAAACTTTTCCATGTTTTATGTGCCACACTTTCCATTTGTCTATTGATGGCCGTCCTGTCCCGCCTTGAGTTGTTAGCTGTCGTGAGTCTGGTTGCAATAACATTTATGTTCAAGTGTCTATCGTAGGACTTAGAGTCCTTTGGATATACACTCCAGAGTGATATAAACTGAGTCATATGGTAATTCTATTTGCATTTTCTGAGAAATATCTTTACTATTTTGCTGGTGGTTAATGCTATCTTCAGCTGTGAATAAGGGTGTCTCTTTCTCCACATCTTCACTAGAATTTGTTGCCATTTTGTTTTTCTTGATGTTATCCATTCTGACTGGTGAAAGAATTTTAAAGTATTTTCAATTTTCATCTTTCTGACAGCTAAAGATGTTGATTGTTTTTCAAGTGTTTATTGGCCATTTGTATTTCTTCTTCTGAGAACTGTGTGTTCATTTTAATGGCCCATTCCCTGACTGAATTTTTTTTTTCACTTAGAACTTAATTATTCATATCCTCACAAACCATCCTGCCACACATGACCAAATGCAGGGTGTGTGATTTGTAAAGGAAAGATGGGAGCTATTTTTCTCAAGCTGACATACCAAGTGTGAAAAATAATGACTACAATGAAAATCTCAAAATGTTTCATGAATGATAATATATCTCCTCATTAGAAAAGAAGCTTCAGGAGATTTTTTTCCTGTTTTCTTCTCGCCACTGGGACATTTACATGTGATCACCACTTAATAAACCTTTTACAATAAGTAATGCTCTTGAACTTTGTACGGTGCTATACCAGTTTGGAAGACTTGGTTTCTGAATTGTAGGCTCTAAAGTCATGAAAATCATAATCTGGTACAAAGTGTATGCAAACATATGTTTCTGAACAGAAAACAATGGCAGCCATGGATAAACAATATCTAATTTGTAAACCATCCTAATACCAATACGTATGTGTGAAAAGTGCTCTCGTGTTGTCTTTAAACTGGGTGAACTTCCACACCGCCGCTTCTGATGTCCCCTACAATGCTGTTGTCCTCACACTTTTCAAATCACAAGTTGCCTTGACAATGTCTTTACAAGCTTTTTTTGGAGGGGGAGAGACATAGGACATGAATCTTGGGGGTTTTCACAGTTACTTTCATTGCTCTGATATGAAACCATGACGGAAACAACTGAAAAGAAAGTGTTTAATTGGGGTTTATAGTTTCAGAGAGTTAAAGTCCATGATGGGGGAGCAATGGCTTGGAGGCAGGGACAGCTGAGAGCCACATCTTGATAGGCGAATAGGAGAGCAAGAGAGAGAGAGAGCACACTAGAATTAGCATTAGCATGAGTCTTTTGTCTTGTGGAACCTCCAAGCCTGCCCCCAGTGACACACCTCCTCCAACAAGGTCACACCTCCAAATCCTCCCCAAACAGTCCTCTTTATTAGGGACCAAATATTCAAACATATGAGCCTATAGTTAGGTCATTCAAACCTCGACAGATGCCAAGGGAGATGGGGCATTGTCCTCGCCTCTGACACACCTCAGAGAAACGACTTTGATCTCCTTGGGGTTAAACTTCAGGTGGCTGGCATCAGAGGAAACTGCATTTAGGATAATCAAAGAAAGCTGCACCTTGGCATCCTCAACGATGAAAGAAGGAAAAATAAGTTTCCATCTTATCCAGCAACCATCTCCTGTAGCAAATCCATCAAGGCAGGGACAGGCTTGGAAGAAGATAAGTACAGCTATTTTCTTGTTGGACCCAGGGAACTGTGGATACCCTGGGGTGCTGAGCCTTGTACCTCAACCCACCTGGGCAATGATGACCCTGCCAAAATTAAAAGTGTCAGAACCTGTTCTTGCTCCCTAAATCACTGCTACCATCTTTCGGGGGAAAACGCCTATCAGACACTTTGGGGTTCTCTTTCATGTTAATTGTTGCACTGAGGAAAATTTCGTCATGCTACAGCCTTAGTTCCTCATTTCTGAAATGCAGCTCATGTGTGAGAATGTCCCTAGAGGATGCCAATGGAGAGACTATCCCATGGAAGATGTGCCTACGACTTCTTTCCTTCCCTGCTGCTCCTTGGCGCCCCCTTCCTCTGACACTGTAGTCAAGGCCTCTCGTGTAAGCTGTCCTCCGAGATCCTATACTTTCCAATCAGGGTCATTTCCATTATTTTTAGGCTTCATTAGGATTTGCTTAGTCTGGATTCAAACAATAGCCACGCATTTGTGGCAGCAGCAGTGAGGCAAGTTGCAGCTGTTGGTGAAGTATAGAAATGGAAAAGGAGTCACACGGACTGTCCCTTTGTCATTCAGTTTCCTTCTTAAAAATGGGATAAATTTGGCTTAATATGGCAATATAAAATGAATACATGCACAAGAAATTATACGAAGGCCCTCAGCTCTTGTCTGACTGTGGTCACAGTGATATATTCTCACTATATTTTCACAACATGGGGTTTCAAATTCAAACTCATAGATAACTTTATTGTCTTCCTTATTCTCCATCAGAGGAAGATAGAGTCATGGTACAAAACAAGACTTATAAATGCCTAAAAGTTATTTTAGACCTGCTAAACAAGCATTTTATAAAACCAGAAATGACCCATCAAGATGTTTTATTGTACATATAGATCACAAGTATTCAACTAGTATTTCCTAGATAGAATTATAATTAATATTAAGAGATACTCTTGAATTAATAATTCATTTTGAAATCAGCTTTATAGACTAATATTTTTATTGACTGTTAATGCCTACAAGAAAAATGTTATGCGGAACTGTAAAAGATACATATTATCTAGAAATAATTTGAAAATCATTACATAAAAATCTGCACTTACAAGTATAAAAATATTTTAATGTAGGCTACACTGATATCTTTGTGACAAAAGGAAAGACACAATATTGAGGTTACATCAGAGACCAGGGCAATGGGCATGCTGAAACATGGCAGCACTCTTGAGTGCTCACCAATGCTGTGGAAATGATCTATGATTGCAATTAATTTCTTTTGAAATTTTGATTAAAATTGATCTGTCCAATTTTCTGCACTGGTTCTGTAAGTCAAATCTTACTGCGGAATTACATAAATCAATGTAGCCAGCACTTCTGTGAAATGGGGCAGGGTAGTGGATATAGAAGTAATTTCTAAGTTGTCAGTGACAGATGGATGTTCTGATCTCATAACCATAGTAAGGAAAAGGTCTTACCGTAGCTGTCATAGGCATCCTCATTTACTCCATGACCATAGTCATAGTATTCAGGCACACTGCAACAGATTGAGACAGGAATCAGTGATTCTGTAAGCAGAGGAACCAAACCTGAACTTCACAAGAAATATGAAATCACAATGTATGATAAGGTAATATCCCAAGAACCTCCAGCTATAAAACAATTCTAAAGAAATGCTCAGTGAGGAAAATGGAGATCATTGGTAAAAAGTGCTATGATTGTATCTACTATCTATATATCTATTGATCTATCTATCATCTTTCTATTATTTATCTAAAATCAATCAATCAATTGTTTATTTTGGTAATATTTTAGGTGATCTTCACCTTTACCTTCCTATTATATGTTATAGTTCCCCTCAAACACAAGTTTAAAACTTCAAAAAATGATAAAAGGAAAAATGTAGAGTCTATTTTTAAGGAAAAGATGCTATATGAATTGATGATCTGATATGTGGCCTTTACTATTGACAAGTTTAAAAATATACATCTTTTGATCTATAGACATGCCAAATATTTAAGCTATTTACTTTCAATATTTCCACAGTCAATAACCACGAAAATAGCACCTGTATTCTGTTTTTTTTTTTTTTTTTTTTTCAAAGAATCTCAATGTGCCTCTTCACACACAGTTATTTCCTGCGTGGTCCTACAGCACCGCCACTTCCCTGTCACTGGCTTCATTTCAGTTAGCACCCATGCCTGGCTAGGACTAACCCTCTCTTCGTGAGCTTTCACAACAACACTTCCTGAAGAGATGACCTTACTCATTCTTTCTACCGGCAATCCCTGGCTCCCTTTTGATTTCCACGCCTCCACTGAAAGAATTCTTATCCAGATATGGACATGTTCAAATGCAATAAAACTTCATTCTCATTTTCCTTTAAAATCATGTGACAGCATTGTCCTTTTATGCCCCTTTAAACACCCCCTTACCAGGCCATGGTAGAGGACAATGCAGCCAATTTTGAAGAGAACTGATAGACTAAGATCAGAAAGGAGAGGAGAACCTCCCCTATCAGTGGACTTGGGGAGTGGCATGCATGCAGAAAGGGGAGGGAGGGTGGGAGCAGGAGGGGAGGAGGGAGGGGCTTATGGGGGGATACAAAATGAATAAAGTGTAATTAATAAAAAATTTAAAAAAACACCCCCTTGCTTGGAGATATTTCTAATTAATTTCATTTTTTTGTATTAGTAAACTTTTCATTCTTTCACCACAGACTCTTATACGTTTATTAGAAATTTTCTCTTTTCTGTCCTAACTCCAAAAATAACCTCACTGTGGCTGTGTTTGAATACCTGCTCTACTCTTATGACTTCCAAATTACATCTCCACCTTTGGCATCTTCCCTCTGCTCTCGTGTGTGATAGTCTACTGTCACATACACAGTGTTTCTGTTTGCTTGTCAAAATGAACTTGTCAAATTCAAGTACAAAATTACAAAATTGCTTTTCTTCCCACCTCGTATTTGTTCCTTTTACATTCTTCCCTCATTGTCATTGGAAACATGTCAGTGTCACCCAAGTGACAAAACGTTGGGCTTTTCCTTTTTATCTCACATGCTATGATCAACCCCAACAGCAATTCCTTTCATTTCTACTTGCAAATATGTTCAGAACCTGAACATGCCCCAACATTTCCACAGCTGCAGCTGCAGTGAAAGAGTTCCCCATTTCTCTCTCAATTGATTCAACATCCTGCAAAATGCTTTGTGTGCCCTGTTTGCTTTTGTCTTTCCTCTTTCCACATAGCAGTCATTTTTATAGATACGTGAAAGCCTCCGAGTTCTCTACTCAAAAGCTATAGATGTCTTCCCAATGTCCTTAAGGGGGGGGGAGAAGGTAAAACTTTTATAAAACTTTGTTATTTCAGGGCCCCACCTACCGCTTTCGCCTCCCTTACTCAACTCAGGGCACACTGTGCTGCCGAACATTCTTTGACTATGGAAGACATACTGTTGTCCCAATGTCTTGACATTTGCTGATCTATTGTCTGACAAATGCGTTTTTCTAGGTGTTCAGCTGCCCTGCTTCTTTCCATGTTTAACTTATGTCACTTACAAAAGGTTCCCCTGATCGGTCTTCTGTCTAGCACGCAGCCATGTGTGCCCTGCTTATTCCTGTTGTCAGTCACAGCCTATCGTCACGTGAGCACACAATGCACATTTGTTCATTTGCTCCGTGTCGGTTCCCACTTATGCTTACTCTTCTGGGTTTTCATATCTGGTTCTCCTCTGTTTTCTATCACTGTCCCAAGTGATTTTCTATAGAAGTGTTTGGCATATGGTAGCAACTCCCGTTTATGACATACCATGGTTAATTGTCTGTAGGACAATTGTGTGTACCTAGTTTAGAATGTAACTTGGACATTTAAGAATTATATACAAAAAGTAGAAGTTATCATTTTGATAATTCTTACATTTTTACTGGTACTAGAGGCCCTATACATGTTTAGGAAAACATCCAATTTTGCTCTAAAAACTCCCTGGTTTAGAACACTCTCCCGGTGGTTTGGTTTGGAGCATCTCTTCTAGGACGTCAACACACCCTACATTGAGACGCGGACTTGCTGGCAGTGCTGTAACATCTTCCAGCTCTACCTGGCTGCAGAGTCTGTATATCTGACTCAGTGTTGCCCTCGAAGGCAACTGAGCTATAGAGATATTTGGAGGAATCCTATGGTAACCTACATCAGCCAGCCAAGATGGTGATGCAAAGCCAAGGGGACGAATATTCGCCTCTTACCTGAAGTAAATCGGATTTTGTATATAAGTAATTTACCATACAAAATCACAATGAAAGAAATATCTGATATATTTGGGAAATATGGACCTATTCATCAAATCAGAGTAGGGAATACACCTGAAGCCAGAGGAACAGCCTATGTCGTCTATGAAGACATCCTTGATGCTAAAAATGCATGTGCCCCCCCTCGCCCCCGAATCCAGATTCAATGTTTCTAACGAATATCTCGTGATTTTGTATTATAATGCTATCTGGGCATTTCAGAAGATGGACACCAAAAAGGAGGAGCTGCTGAAGCTTCTCAAGGAAAAGTACGGCATCAACACAGATCTCGCCAAAAGAGCAATAGCCATGAGCAGCCCGGTCACCTTTCTTCTTTTTAACTAATACTGAATTTTGTTATTTCTTATTTGAGACCAAAAATGACTTAGTTGAAACTTTTCTAAGCATTAGAATATGTCATGTTAATAAACTTGTAGTTTTTTGTAAAAATAACAAACAAAAAAACCCTTCTTGGTTTAAATTAAGTATAATTGATTACCGTTCACTTGAATATTAATTAAATATTTTAATACTACTAATTTCTTTCATTGACAACATTAGATAGTGAACCTACTCAACCAGCATCCTATCAGTAAGCTCCACGCCTAGCCCCAAATCCCTTCTAAGTATAAAGCACTATAAAAAGAAAGTGATCTTTTAAAATTTATTACAGTTTATTCACTTTGTATTTCAGCTGTATCCCCCACCCTTGTCCCCTCCCAATCCCTACCTCTCTCCCTCCCTCATCTCCTCCCATGCCCCTTCCCCATTTCATGATAGGGGAGGTCCTCCTCACCTTCCATCTGACCCTAGCCTATCTATCAGGTCTCATCAGGACTATCTTTCATAGTCTTCCTCTGTAGCCTGGTAAGGCTGCCCAGGAGGAGGTGATCAAAGAGCCAGCCACTGAGTTCATGTCAGAGACAGTCCCTGTTCCCTTACTAGGATACTCACTTGGAGACTGAGCTACCATGGGCTATAGGGATTCTAGGTTATTGCCATGGATGGTCCTTGGTTGGAGTAACAATTTCAAAAATGACCCCTGGGCCCATATTCTTTGGTTCTGTTGCTCAACTTGTGGTTCTCCAAACCCTTCCATATCTTTCTATCTTACCCTTCTTTCATAAGATTCCCTGTACTCGTCCCAAAGTTTAGCTATGACTCTCAGCATCGGCTTTAATACCCTGCTGGGTAGAATCTTTCAGAGGCCCTCTGTGGTAGGCTCCTGTCTTTTTCCTTGTTTTCACCTTCTTCCAATGTCTCTTCCATTTGCCTTTCTGAATGAGGATTGAACATCTTGCTCAAGTACACACCAAGGACATTTGCACAACCATTTCTCATAATAGCCAGAATTTGGAAACAACCCAGATGTCCCTCAAGTGATAAATGGACACAGAAATTGTGGGACATTTACACAATAGAATGCTACTTAGCAATTAAAAACAAGGAAATCATGAAATTTTCAGGCAAATAGTGAGAACTAGAAAAAAAATCATCTTGAGTGAGGTATCCCAAAAGCAGAAAGACACACTTGGTATATAGTCACTTATAAGTGAATATTAGACATATAATATAGGATAATCACATTAAAATATGTACACTTAAGGAAGCTAAGCAAGGAGGAGGACATATATATTTTTGTTGATTTGTTTTGTTTTGAGACAGGGTTTCTCTATGTAATAGATTTGGCTGTCCTGGAATTTGGTTTGTAGACCGGGCTAACCTCAAACTTACAGAGATCTGCCTGCCTCTGCCTCCTAAGTGCTGGTATTAAAGCCATGTGCCACCATGCCCAGCTCATATATATATATATATATTTCTTAATAGAAATGATACAACCCTGACTGAGAAGTTCACAATCAGCATGGTTTTGCAGAAGCACATGAGTAAGGCTGTCAATATCTAAGTCAGTCTGCTCACAACCACCTCTAACCCGGGCTTCAAGTGATCCAACATTCTGTTTTGGAGTCTGTCAACACTTGCATTCATGTATATATACCCACCCCCATTGATATTCACATGCTAAAAATAAAAAATTATGATTAAAGAAAGAAAAGATGCAAACCAATCCAGCATCCTCATACATATTCAGCAAATTCCTAGTAGTCATTTTGTTCATTTTCTGAGATTCACAATGTGGCAGACATGAGAAATTGATTTACTGATCAACACTAATAGGGGAAGATGTTGACACTGGTAACAGCTTTTCTTTAAATAAATATCTGATTCTCTTTCCTAAAGTATACTGTAT